ATGGGGGGAGGAAATATGAAGCATGGCTGGGGCCAACTTAATAGAGTTGGCTATATGACTTTCTGCTCACACACCGATCTAGACAGTTATAGCTGTCTAGGAGTAGAATTACAAAGGTGAATGGAGGTCTGCTAATGCAGGGGACCAGGTTTGGTTTGTTGTAACAAGGTAGTTTGTTACTTGTGTCAGTCTTCTTTGAACACTCTGCATAGTAGCTCTCTCTCTCTTTCTCCCTCTCCATTCCCTTCCCCTCCCCCTCCCTTCCGCAACAAGAATGTTCCATTGTTATACTTTCATGACAGGAGAATGTGAGGAAGGCTCTTGTATGTTAGGTGGACATTCTCTAGCAACTGTTTGGGTGAACATGGACGAACATTACACAAGTAGTAAGTGTCAGAGTTGGGATTTAAACCCTTGTTATCTGACACCAGGAAGATGAAAACCTAAACCATACCCCAATTCTGGAATTATATGGTATTGTCCTAGAAGACAGGGCAGCTAGGTGGTGCAGTGGATAGAGCACTGGACCTGAAGTCAGGAATGCTTATCTTTGAGTTCAAATCTGGCTTCAGACACTTATTAGCTGTGTGACCCTGGGTAAGTCACTTAACTCTGTTTGCCTCAGTTTCCTCATCTGTAAAATAACCTGGAGAAGGACATGGCAAACCAATCCAATATCTTTGCCAAGAAAACCCCACAGAGACACGAAGAATCAGACATGACTGGAACAGTGGAATAAGCCCTAGAAAACAGTACTTTAAGTAACAGAAATCCTTGCCTTGCAGTGCTTTTTCAGGTCTTCCCAAAGCAGTGTTAGTGGCTAGAGCATTTATTCATTTATCAACTGAACATGTGCGCGCACGCGCACACACACACACACCCACACCAGCTAATATAGCCTTCAAAGCCTTCTCCTCCTGAATGATGTTTGTCTGTTTTTCCACAAACTCTTCTTCGAGGAACCGCCAACTTGGCTCTTTTTTGAGCATTGTGAGGATGCCAGTGTGTACCACTCAGTCTGTCTGTTACTTCTTGCTTGATATATCGTGTTCCTACCTGCTTTCTTAGGATGCTGTTTTTCAAGCCCTTTTTCTAGTTCAAGACTTCTTCCTTTGAAGTGGGTTCCCTGTGAAGTTTAACAGGTAGTTTTACTAGGACAGAAGAATAGACCTTATGGTATAGCAATGCTACATTCATAGGATATTACCCCAAGAAACAGTAATGTCTAAAGGTATCATTAGTTATATTTAAGTCAAAAAAGATTTAGGTAAATAAATGAATAAGCATAACAAGTTGTTTTATACATACATGCATGCATGCATACACATATATACATATACACACAGTGTTATATATACACATATTATACACATATCTATTAGGTGCACGGTAAAGTTTATTTTAGTTTTTATAGTGCAAGACATATTGGATCAATAGTTTCTACTTAGAAGTGTGACATTGAACGGAATAATCCTGTGAATTTACCCCTGTTGCCATTATGTTTGTGGGTTTTTAGAGGAGTAGAGAAGGTGTTTATTGCCTTCTGCCTTTCCACAGTAGTTATAAAGAAGTATGTTTTTTTGACTAATGTGAAAATAGGTTCAATATGAATGTATATGTAGAGCCTATATGAGATTACACGCCATCTTGGGGTGGGGGGAGGGGAGAGATTGGGAGAAAATTTGGAGCTCAAAATCTCATGGAAGTGAATGTTAAACTAAAAATAAATTTTTAAAAATAACAAAAAAAAGAAAAAAAATGTTTTTCTTTTAGAGCAAGCAAGACAGGATAATTGAGATCTTAAGTGAAATAACTAGACATTGTTATGAAAGTGAGCCATGCCATTAGACTAGAGCTACTCAGGACTCTTGACAATAGAGATCATTTCCATGAATACTGACAATTTCATTGGCAAAGCTATTTCTTTTTTGTCTTATGTACTTCTTAAGAGTTAGTGCTGCAGGAAGCATTAGAAGATTTGTTATAGTCTCATGAAAGTTTTTCCTTCCTCTATTTTTTTCTTTTTGTATTGGGAGACTTGCTCTTAATCTACGAGGGAAAAAAAGTAGCCTTTTCTGCTCATTTATTTAATAATAGGGATATAACCTTGTATCTGATTGACAGTTTAACCAAAAGGAACTGTGTTGAAGATTACGAGGGAGCCTGGCTCGATCTCATTTGGGTATAGATAGTAAGAAGAAACTGAGGAAAATGGCTTTGTTGTTAAACTAGAAAGACAACCAGAGTGTTCCATTGAGACCTCCTGATATTATCTGGAGAATTTCAAATTTGGCAAAATATAAAACCAATGGTATAAAAAATTGGATATTTGTTTACTTAAAGTTTTAAAAAATTAGTTTAAAAGTCTATCTTGTTCACAGATTCTATGTTATTAAACATGGTTTATTTTCCCCATTTAACTATTTTAATTATTTTCTAATGAAGTTTTTTTTAATTCTGAACTTAACAAACACCAAATAAAGTTAATATTTCCATGTACATAATATAACAAAAAAAGAGAATCATACATTTAAAAAGTAAATTTCTATTATATGTGACTGGTTTTTCTTTTTAATTAAGAGATTGAAGATACTTTTTCATAGATGTCCAGCATGTCGGTGGTTCTTTCTGTCCTTTCTTGGGTTCTCTTCTGTGCATTAAAAATGTTTGCATATTTTTTTTTGGTCTTTATTTTAGATTGCTGTCTCAGCATGTTGGCTATATCATGTTCCTTCTAATCCCTTTTGATATTATAAATCACTAGTGATATTTGCACTTATCTTGAATCTTTTATATAGATTATTAAGGGTAAAATATAAAATATAAAAATGCACAATTTATTAAATGGAAATAACTTTTTTCTCTAGTCAAAAAAACTTTACACTCCAAAATCATAAGTTGAAATTTTTTTTTTGTTTGTTTGTTTTTTTAGCTTTTGTTGTAAGTTTTGGAAAATTACTGTAGACTGTTAAGGGAACTAATATTTTTGAGGGGAATATTGCTAGATTTGTAGAAGCTTGGAGGGATAGCTAATATAGTGGATGACAGTGATTTTTCAAAATTACCAACTTAGAACAGTGGGCTTCACTGAATAAAATGAAATTAAACAGGAATAAATGTAGAGTTGTATACCTGGGTTAAAAAAATCAGTTTTGCAGTTCATATGATAGGAAGCATAGCAAGATAATAATTCCCGTGAAAAGGACATTTTCGTTAATCAGTGGTTTGAAATGGCAATCACAGAAATGATCCTTGGCTACATTAAGAAGCTTAGTATTCAGAATTGGGGAGGCCTGGTTCCATTATACTCTAGTATGTGTAGGCCACATTTGGAGTGTTCTCTAAAACTAGTATTTTTGTATTGATATTAAAAATAGAAAATAGACTTTTGGTCTCACTGACCAACACTAGCTTTCCCCTTTTTTGGGTAGTAAAACTATCTTTTTTCAGTAGAAATTGCTGTATGAAGAGGTTTGAAACTTCCATTTTTGTAGGTGATCTCAGACTGGTTAAGCCCTCAAGGATTTTTATAATAACAAACTAGGGAAGAGATGAAGGAAGGAAACAAGTACTTATTAAGTTTAGCTTACTATGTGCCAGGCACTGTGCTAAGCTCTTTAGAAATATTATCTCATTTGATCCTCACAACAACCCTGAGTATGTGTTATTCTCATTTTGCAGTTGAGGAAACTGAGGCAGACAGGTTAATAGACTTGCCTAGGGTCATACAACTAGTAAGGATCTAAGATAGGGTTTGAACTCTGGTCTTCCTGACTCCCCACCCAACTCTACCTGCTATACCATCTAACTACCTCTGACTGGGAGATTGTATTGAGACTAGTTGTACAAATCTGAAGTTCTCCATGTATTTTTAAGCCATGAATTCTTAAGACTCCAAAGCCACTGCAAATATTCAAAGTATTTCAAAGAAAGATGTGTGTTACCAGTTACATGAATTTGTAATGAGATGGGTGGAAATGGAGGTTAGGCCAATAGGCTATTAAGAATAATAAAGAATAAAAAATAATAAAGCAGTATAAAGAGTCATTGATTTTATGGGCAAAGGATATAAGTCAAAGGGGATATATGGATGGGTGACCTGAAAGTGGGAGATACGTGTGATGTAGTCAGAGGGAGTCTCTTCTTCCAAATATCAACTATCGCTTTTGAAGCCATACTATATCTTTTTTTTTTTTTTTTTTTGGTTGGTGTGGTAATGGGAGTGGGCGGTTAAGTGACTTGCCTAGGGTCACACAGCTAGCAAGTGTCAAGTGTCAAGAGGCCGGATTTGAACTCGGGTCCTCCTGACTCCAGGGCCGATGCTCTATCCACTGCACCGCCTAACTGCTCCTCATGTCATATCTTATAGCAAATTCAAAGGTGACTTAATCCTATGGTATACTTTACTTTGATTCACTTAGTTTTTTTTTAAACTTTCTTGTGTAATTATCTGTCTTGATTTTTTTTTCATTGACTCATTTTAGTGTAGTTCTGTTTAGAAGAAGGTCATTAAATTTGTTTTCCCTAGGACAAAACACTTCCTATTTCATGTTTCAGTAACCTTAGCATATTTCTTTTTCTTGAGATTAGAATATTCCACTGAGAATTGAATACTGATTTTCATATCTTGGATATTTAAAAATTTTTGGCATCTTAAATTAGCCAAAAACCTTGAAAGTAACCATTCTGGGAGCCTAAAACAAAATTATCACATATAATTAAGCTTTGAAAAATTTTTCTAAGTCAGAGAAATCTTTTATAAGATTTTCTGCCTATAATATCTTATTCATCTGTGAATGAGAATGTTTTATTATTTTTCATTTAGTCACCATCATCATGCATTTGGGCACAATATTCTGATTTTCAGAATGTATTTTTCCCCATGAAGAATCTACCAGAGGGCAGTCTTTAGTGTAAGCATGCCAGTGTCTATAGTCTAACACCGTGCAATTCTAAGCACTTGGAGAAATACGTTTTAATGAGTGGTCTTTTCTCTGCAGGTGGGGAATCCGCGGGTTGAACTTACGCTTTCAGAACTCCAGGATATGGCTGCTCGGCAGCAGCAGCAAATCGAAAATCAGCAACAAATGTTGGTTGCCAAGGTAAGCTTTGAGATGAAACTAGGGAAAAGATTCGAGGGCCTTTAGTAGCTTACTCTCTGTTGTGATCAGTGTGATTGATTATGCTCAACACACAAGCACTCAGCACAGTGCCAAGTATTCCTGCCTTCCTCCATCTGACAGAGCAGGGCTCCTGAGGACTACATCTGACCACCAGAATTGAAAACAGCTATTTTTTCTTACCATTTTGTAACTTTCTTTTCACCTCTGAAGTAAATTTTCTCTGCTTGTCACAATCATTTCTCCCATTTACACTATGTTCATGCAGCATAAGAACAAGAAGTTGTCTTAATGGGGGTTTGTGCTTTGTGCAGTTAATAACTTCTAAAATGGGTGATGAAAAGCAGCAGCTCTTTCTTGGGGCTGCAACACTGCGGTGAGGTGGGCTGACTGGTACTGAACTTGGAAAGCTGGTTCGGCATATATTCTTTAGTGAAGCCAAAAGACTAAAAAAAGATTAAGTCCAGGTTAGAAAAGTTAACGGTTAGGACCATTTATACACAATTTTGTAACATTCTGAAAGCATTTTGAAGGTTAGCTTGTATTCAAATTATTGCCTCAGTCTGAAAAGAACTTCTAAGTAGAAAAATGCTTGTGTTTTTTTTTAAATTGACTGAATTCCTGTTAAATACAGCTTACTATTTACTTCTATATAAATAATAATAAATTTAAGTTTAGTGTAAACCTAGCACTTTGGAGACACTTAATTTTTTTAAATGGCCTAGATTTTTAGAATTGAAAATTTGTTGAATTAAATATGAATATTCTATCTTCTTATAAAATGTTTTCCTCTTTACCACATGTAAACAGAATCCTTAGAACAGTGTGTAAGAAATGTTAGTTCAGTTTTTAAAAATGTGTAGTTGATTTTTCATAATCCATCTTCAAATTGGTGAATTTTATGTACTTACAGAGACTGACTTTTTAATGTTAATGTTGTCCTGAAATAGGTTTTGATATTATAGAAAAGATTTTCTATTATTGGTGATTTCTTCCATTGATTGTCATTTGCCATCATCAATATGCATATTTTGTGTTTTGTATTACAAAAGGATTATCATCTTATAAAAAGGTAAAGCAACTGTAAGCTGTGTTTATTAACCTCTTCAGGAACTCATCTGGAACAAAAGATATCTTTTTTTTTTTTAGTGGTTCCTAGCAAATTAGAGGTTTATCTTGTAGATCTTATCTTTTTCAGTCTAAAATCCTCAGCTCTTCATTTCCTTTGGGAACTATTTTGCAACAGCAGGAAAGCTGTTACTAAAAGCAGGAAATTAATGTTGGAGGAAACTTAACAGATGTGTTAGAATGAATGTAGATGAAATTGTTTTAGTACATCATATGAGTATAAGAGTTGGGATTAACTGCATTTAAGACAACATTCTCTTTGGGTTTTTAAAAAAAAAATAGTTCGCCACAGAAATTATTATTGTGTGTTCACTGTAATTCATAGGTTAGGTCAGTTTGCATCTAATTATTAAATACTTAAAATTGTTCCTATCTTGTACTTGTAATAAATAATTCAGTTTTTGTCTAACACACGTGCAGTAATCCTTTTGGCATTTCTTTAATGTATGTAGTTGACCTTGAAATTCATTGTTTTAGTTGTTGCACAAATAATAATTTAACTTAGGAAAACATCAAAATTAAACTTTTTTTCTACTTGCCCTTTCTTAGGAGCAGCGCTTGCACTTTCTAAAACAACAGGAACGTCGCCAGCAGCAGTCTGTTTCCGAAAATGAAAAGCTCCAGAAACTTAAAGAAAGAGTGGAGGCCCAAGAGAATAAGCTGAAGAAGATCCGTGCCATGAGAGGCCAGGTGGACTATAGCAAAGTTGTGAATGGCAACCTGTGTACGTAGAATGTTTCCTAATTCTGAGACACCAGGGATGGAGTGTTTCCCTTTTTTTCTTCTTCTTTCCTTAAATCTAAAGTTAACTTAGTTTATGAGACAATTTTGGTAACAAAAAAATTTTTTTTAATTTTATTATTACTTTTTTTAGGCAATTGGGGTTAAGTGATTTGCCCGGGGTCACACAGCTAGTAAGTGTCAAGTGTTTGGTCTGAGGTTGGATTTGAACTCAGGTCCTCCTGACTTCAGGGCCGGTGCTCCCTCCACTGCATCACCTAGCTGCCCCAGTAACAAAAATTAAGCTGGATATTTTTTCTCCTTTTCTTTTTAGTGAGACTAATGATGAGCGTTAGGTAACATGCTGTAACAGGGTGGGTTTGGAGTTTGCATTCTGGCTCTACAATTTATTACTTTTCTGATCTTGGAGAAGTCACATCACTTCTCTGGGCCTTAGCCTTTTTATTGGTAAAATAAGGGGTTGAACTCACTAGGTCATTTCTGAGGTCCCTTTCAGCTCAAAATACTGTCCTAAGATCATTCTAACTTTTAACATTCATTGAATTTATTCTTAGATTTCATGCTGTTGGTCTACCTTGTAGACAAAAATCTCAATATTTAATGAGATCTTTCAAGTACTTCAGTAACTTAAAAACCTTTTGGATAAATAATCCAAGGCTTTCTTGCCTTAAACTTGCTGTGTTGTGAACAGTGAATGCTGAAATTCTTTGTAAAATTCTCAAATTTCCCTAGGATTATAATATATATCACAGATAAAATATTGTCAAACTCTCTGAAAGTTTTTGATAGTCATAACATTTCTTAATAAAATACATTCCCTGAAAACAATTTTTTAAAATTAATTTATTTTGAGTTATCAGTAATCACTTCCATAGGCTTTTGAGTTTTAAATTTTTCTCCCCCTCCCTCCCTATCTTTCTCCCCAAGATGGCAATCTGATATAGGCTATACATATACATTCCTATTACACATATTTTCACATTAGTGACGTTGTAAGGAAAAATTAGAACCAATAGGAGGAACCATCAGAAAGAGAAAACAAAACAAAACAGAAGAGAAATAGTATGCTTTGATCTGCATTCGAACTCCATAGTTCTTTCTTTGGATAGCATTTTCCATTGTGAGACTTTTGAATTGTTACCCTTTGTAGTTGGTACTCCCATGGAGCAGTTTTGTTTCTCCATGTTGACACTGTAATGGATAGAGAGCCAACTTCACAACCAGGAAGGCCTGCTTTAAGTCCCTCCTCTAACATGTGTTGCTGTGTGACCTTGGCAAGTCACTTCATCTCCTAGTGCTCGGGGCAGATTCTTAAGTCTGTGAGTTACAGAGAAGGTGCTGCTGACCTGCTTCCGCAGTGGGAACTTCATTACCCAGAAGTTCCTTATAGAAATGAAATAGCAGTTCTAGTTCCTGTCTGCATGGACACATTGTTGTAATTAGTCGTTGTGTATGTTTTTTGGCTCTCTTTTCTTCACTTTGCATTTTTTCATACAAATTTTCCCAAGTTTCTCTGAATGTTTCACATTCCTCATTCCTTATGGTGCAGTAATATTCCTTATATTCATATTTTGTTCAGCCATTCCTCAGTTTTTGGATATGCTTTGTTTACAAGGTTTTGTTAATACAAATAATGGTGCTATGAACATTTTTGTACATATAAATTCTTTTTTGATCATCTCTACCATCCTTGTGGTCCTAGTTGTGGAATCACTGAGTTAAAGGTTATGAACAGTTTTAATTGAAAATTACTTTCCAGAAGGCTGAACCAATTCATCACTTCCTCCAGTGGTCAATTAATATGCTTGCTTTCCACAACTCTTCCAACAATGCATTTCTCCATCTATACTAGCTTAATGGATGTGAGATAATTTAGAATTTTAATTTATATGTCTTTGATCATAAGGGATATAAGATAGTAATTAATAGTTGTATTCTTTTGAAAATAGTTTGCTTGTTTTTTGTGACCCATCAGTATTAGGCAAAATGGTTCAGTCTTATGTGTCAGTTCCTTACAGGTTTTGGATATCAGATTCTAATTGGGGCAAAGGTCTCTCCTCTAAATCTCTCCCATCCCCCATATATCTCATCTTCTTAGTCTAAATGCATTTTGTGCAGAAATACTTTGTTTTGTATAATTAAGAATGTTTTGCCTTTTGTCTTTTCTGCCCTGTGCCCAATTATTAATTCTTTAATATCTATTATTGTGAAAGCTGTAATTTTGCATTTTCCCTAATTTTTTCATGGTGTGACTTAGTATTGCCTTGACACAACTATGCTTTTCAGACTGACCTCTGCCACTAATGGGCATGTCCTTAAGGAAAGGGCAATTAGTTCTGTTTCAGAAGTAGAGCATATTTTAAATAACATAGAAAAGATTTTTTTAATCATCCATTTCATGCCTTTAGTACAATGGAGATATCTAGAATTAAGATCAAATATGTGCATAAAGTTGTCCCATATACATAGAGATTAAGATGTTGAATTGTCAGTGATAGTATAATTGCCTGATTCATGTAATTTAAATCAGCTTTACTTGCATAAAGTTACCTTCAGAGCTTGTGTTGGTTCTTTTTTATTACATTATTTTAATTGAATTTTTTTTTTTCTTGGGGGCGGGGGGAATTGCAGCTGCTGAAATTGAAAGGTTCAGCGCCATGTTCCAGGAAAAGAAGCAGGAGGTACAGACTGCAATTCTAAGAGTGGATCAGCTCAGTCAACAGCTGGAGGATTTAAAGAAAGGGAAACTTAATGGATTCCAGTCGTATAATGGCAGATTGAGTGGACCTGCTGCAGTGGAGTTGAAAAGATTATACCAAGAGCTTCAGGTAACTTGTTAGAGTTTGTCTGTGCAGTGAGTGATGCTGAAGAAGACAAGCACACTGGAGCAAAGCCTGGGGTACTCACTTAGGAACAAATTCTCACATGGTATTGTTTGTAGAATAACTGAATCTGATGGATTTTCTTGGGTTTGTTTGGGCCAGATCCATGATTTCATTAGTATAAGGAACTTTGGATGTAGAAACTCAAGAGTCCTAGAGAGATTGGCCTGAGGCACTGATAGATGAAGTGACTGGCCCAGAGTCACCTAGATACTATGTATCAAGGTAGCAATTGAAACCAGCTCTTCCAGATTCCCAGGCTGACTCTATATAAAATTCCACACTGACTCTTTGATTTACTGTTTAGCTATGTGAAAACATAACACCACATGGTACCAAAGTCTCCTTGTAAACTGAATTTTAATGTAACTGTAGTCTAAGAAAGCAGCTGTTAAATTTGAATAATTGAAAATCATGAGGGTTTTTTTTTAACAACAATTATTAAAATTATTTAAAATGAATTGCTTTACATCCCCCCCCCCCATAAAATGTGTATCTTTGGGGCAGCTAGGTGGTGCAGTGGATAGGGCACTGGCCCTGGAGTCAAGAGGACCTGAGTTCAAATATGACCTCAGACACATGATATTCACTAGCTTTGTGACCTTGGGCAAGTCACTTACCCACAATTGCCCTCCCCCAAAAGTGTATCTTTATCATAGTTTGCAAATTGAGTTATATTTAGCCAACTGTTATTTTTCTTCTTTGCATTTCCACTGCCTTACATGTAGTAGGTACTTAATAAGAATTTGTTGACATGAAATAAAATAATAGAGCGAAAGCAAATAGCAAGAATTCATGATATCTTTTGCTTGTTAGGTGAGACCAGGGTTTAACTGTTTAAAGTGAAGTGTGTGATCGTTGTGGAAAATGAGTGTCATTTAGATAGACTTTCCTGAGTATGCTGGAATGTATATGGCATTATGTCTTCTGCATACAGAGTGGGAGTCAGTATGAGGCAGTTCAACTTTGTATAATAAATGAGTTGATCGACTGGCAAAAGGAATTCTGATATAGTTATTTCACATAGTACAGACCCAGGGGACAATTCAGTGTATGAAAATTAAAAAAAAAAAAAAGTAGATACTTTTTCACCTGGCCTGTATTTTCAGTGCTTGCCTTGTGTTTTTGTGAACTCTTGAGATATCTTCCTAAGGAATCTTTGTTAACTTCCATTTACATTAAGTAGGAAGCAGTTAGCATGTCAGTTATATCTACATATGTATATACATGGACCTAAAATAAAATGTAGGTATGGTGCATACTAGAACTTAATATCATCTTTAGTTTTTTTGTTTTTTTACTTCTCATGGAAATGAAAATTTAATAACCTTTTTAATTAATTGAAATTAAAATTTTTTTTTTAAGATTCGGAATCAGCTTAATCAAGAACAGAATTCCAAACTCCAGCAGCAGAAGGAACTTTTAAATAAACGTAATATGGAGGTTGCTATGATGGACAAACGAATCAATGAACTTCGTGAGCGTCTTTATGGGAAAAAAATTCAGGCACGTCAAAAAGAAAACATTCCTGTAAGATAAACTTTTACAAAAGGCCCATCTCCAAATTGCACATTTTTTTCTGAATTAAATTACTTCCTATCTCTACCCCCCAGTCAGTAAAAAATCATTACAAGCAAAAATGCTCATTTGCCAATTGGTGGCTTAGGGAACCTTAAAGCCATGAGAGTTCAGTATTAGAACCTGGCAGCAAAGTAGAATCTGAACAATGTATCATCTGAAACCACTGGCCAAATAAAGCACCCTGTGTTTCTCCTCTCCTCTGACTTGGACATACTCTGACCCTTCTCTGCTCTGGTATTCTGTCACCGTCTTCATTTTGCTACTGTTACTTTTTTCTCTCTTGGTGTCTTCCTTCTCTGTCAGAAAACAGAGTGCCGGGGAGTGGCACTCATAGACACTGCTTGGCACTGAGGATCAATTATTTGATTTTCAGTTCCTCCTGTGTGGAGTAAGTAGAAAAAATTGCATGTAGCAGAGAATTAGTGGCACTCAGGTCACCAATGCCCTTTCTCCCAGGGAAATTACCAGTAGTTTCTCTGCCACCAACTCATGTTCCCTCTCAGGTTGGTGGCTTGGCACTGCTTCTCTGGATGGGCAGGAAGTGGAGAATGAGGGTGGAGTTTGGAGGAAGAAGTCATCACTTTCAAATTCTCTTTGTTTTTGGCATTTTCATGAAGTCTGCCCACTCAATCAATGGCCATTAAGTTGGCTATGCTTTTAAAGAATACCAAGAAATCATGAACAGCTTTAGCAGTGCCACATTTGATTTTGATTTCCTTGATGAAGGATATTCTAGCCTAAAAAAAAGTTACAGAGGATTTTTCTTCTGATAGTAAAGATGTCTTCTGTGTCATTAACCTTGGGGAAATCCTAAAGGAATATCTGAGATATAGAAAGCTCCCCTTCGGATAACTCCTTTGTATGCTGTCAAATATTGTGACACTTCACCATAATGATGACACTTGCTACTATAGGAAGAGTATATGAGGGGCAGCTAGGCGGCACAGTGGATAGAGCACCGGCCCTGAAGTCAGGAGGACATGAGTTCAAATTCGGCCTCAGACCAAACACTTGACACTTACTAGCTGTGTGACCCTGGGCAAGTCACTTAACCCCAATTGCCTAAAAAGAAAGAAAGAAAGAGTATATGATTGTGCTAAGACTGAAACACGATTGATGCTGAGTCTTGGAGTGCCTCCAGAGAGAATAATCTATGCAAATCCATGCAAACAAGTTTCATAATTTAAGTGTGCTGCCAACAACAAAGTAAAGATGATGACTTTTTATGGTGAGGTAGGCAAAGTTGATTTTGTGAATCACTATTGATGTCTCCAAAGCTCTCTGTTGTCTTAAGTGTTAAATTTGTTAAGTCTCAAAACTACTAGGCTGTTCTTTGAACAGGCAAAAAGAACTGAATACTGATGTTGTTGGAGTCAGCTTCCACGTGAAGAGTGATTATACTGATCCCAACATCTTTGTTCAAGTGGTTTGTAATGCTTGACGTGCCTTTGACATGGGTACAGAGTTTGAGAGAGGGAGGGGAACAGTGATTTGATCCTGATATTGTAGTGGCTTTCTTGGTTCTGAAGATGTTAAATTTAAAAAGATTAACATTGGACAAATACTTGACTTTTGACTCTGGAATGGGAATTATAGCCGAACCAGGCAGACACAATGTTGCATCAGCTTTTGTGTTTGAAGTTGACATCATTGCCCAAAAAACTGTATTAAAGGGATAGATTGTGACAGGGAGGATTCAAGTAACCACATTATCAGTTTATCATTATCATTTGATATGCTACAGCTTCATGTATTTTCTGCTGCCAGACATCCTTGTATTCACTTTTCAAATATATTACTGAAAATATTGCATTTATTGTGGCTGTAAATCAGAATGATGATCTAAGCCTACTGTTATCTAATGAATGTTTAATGTCCTTGCGTATTTAATTTTGAGGTAATGTGACATCTTTGCTTAGCTGACAAGATAATTTATGTCAAAGCCAAAAAGGCCTGGTGACTTAGGAAGTTGCCTGCTTAGATCTCCATAGCCCTCTCCCTCATTCTCCACCCACAGTTATTAGTTTTTCCCTTTGCCCCTCTTCTTTGCTACAGAGACAAGTTACAAATGTAGACTGAACCGGGTATGTGAAATATTTGTCGGTAGTGTCAACTCAAAAAGTTCCAATGACAAATTTTAAAAAGAAAGAAAAGTAGCTATGGTGTGTAGGGGAGAGAAATTAGGAGGTTTGATGGATTGGGTGAATTAGTCCCAAAAACTGGAAGAGCTGAAATGAACTATATGGTTGCAGGATAAGCAAGGTAGTTACTGCTTTTCTGTATATTATTGCCAATTGACCCTTGCTCCACCTTAATGATTTGCTTTATAATTTGAGATATTTTCAAAATGTTCTCAGAAGTCTAGATCCATATTTTTTTTTAATTTAGAAAATTCTTCAACATCATTGGTTAATTTTCAGAAGGCTTATTATTTTAGATGATTGCCTTTTCATTTTTCTTGTGGTTACAGTGTTACTGTGAAGAATTAGCCTGCCACTGTGGATTTAAGATGCATGTTCTTATTGATTTTTCAGTTAATCAATAAATTTATGTTATACCATTATGGCATACCATATATACCATAGAGATTTGATGCTTATAGACTTTTCTGTTCCAAAAGTTATGTGATTCAAATAAGATACTATTATTTTATCTCATCATGTTGTTGCTTATAAATGTGGAGTATTTTGAAGTAAATTGGATCTTAGAAGAGAATCATAGATTTGTGATGGAAGATAGATGTTTAGTACTATAGTAAAGAAACGAGAGTTTGATCATGACCAATGACCACTATTGGGTCATTGGGGAGTTTTTTCTTTAAAACTCATCTTTTTTTTAAAAAATGCTCATTTTCAAAAGTTTTTTTCCCAGTCATTATCATAAGAATTCAGATATACAAACAGTAACAAGAGTACAAAGGCAAATTTTAAAAAATTAAACAAAATAATTTATTATAAATGATTGTGCTTATAACTGCACACTTCTGTTACTGATTTAATTTTAAGAGGAGACTTCTGTTTTTAAAGCATCTTTCCCATTGTAATTACAGAAAGGAGCAATTTCATTTTGTATCATGAGATATTATTCCTATGATTAACACTTAATATTTCTGGATATACACGAATTCCTAAATATAAAATGGCCATTGTTAGCATGGGGAGGTTCAGCAGTAGAATAATAAGTCTCATGTCAACCTGGTATCTTGATTTCTCTTAGCTCTGAGTACACACTATCACTCCTCCTATTTCCTTTTTCGTATAGTTAAATCGAGTTAATGGAACATCGTCACCACAGTCCTCCTTGAGTGCATCTGGCAGAATAGCAGCAGTGGGGCCTTACATACAAGTCCCTACTGCTGGGAATTATTCCGTACCAGGTGACCCGGTAAAGCCACAGTCTCTCACTATTGCTTCAAATGCAGGTCATGGAAGATCTAAGTCTGGTAAGTAGAGTAAGACCCTCTTATGATTGGGAGAAACCCTGAAACTTTTAAGGGGATAACCATATATGTCTATAAATGGAGGTTTGAATGGCATTTTCAGTATTCTTGATGCTGAGGTATAGGTTTCTTGTTCTTTGTTACCTGTTAGTTGTGGAGTGTGAATAGACTTCTGGGATTTCAGGAGGACTTGGGTTCAAATCTCAGATGCTTACTAGTTGTGTAATCCTGGGTGAGTCACTTAACCTCTCTGTGGCTTAGTTTCCTCATTTGTAAAAGCAGGCTGAGTTCAATGGCCTCTAAGGTCCCTTCCCATTCTAAACTTTGATCCTATTATTCTTATTTCTTTTCCTTGTTTTTCCCCTGTGGCTAATTATACTTATAGAGTATCATGCATATGGAACTGTCAGACATCTTGAACTAGATGACCAGTAGACATCTTAAACTCAACATGTCTAAAACCAAACTATTGATCTTTCTTCCTAAACCCTCCCCCCTCTCCTACTTTGCCTTTTACTATAGAGGGCAACACTATCCTCCCAGTCCCTCAGACTCACAGCCTAGGAGTCATCTTGGATTTCTGACTATCTCTTTTTCTCCCGCGACTCCCCGCCCCCCCCATCCAAACTCTTGTCAAGGCCTGCTGATTTCATCTTTGCAACATCTCTCAAATATGCCCCTTTCTGCCCTCTGACACTGCCACCAGTCTAGTATAGGCCTTCATCACCTCACACCTGGCAGCAATAGCCTGATAGTACATTTACTTCCCTCAAGTCTCTCCCTATTCCAGCCCATCCACGATTCTGCTACCAAAGTGATTTTCTTAAAGAGTCAATCAGACCATGTTACCTGACCTAGTTAGTAAATTCCAGTAGTTTCCTATCACAAAATACTCTATATGACATTCAAAACCTTTCAAACCTTACTCCTCTCCACCTGTTCAGTCTTCTTGGACCTTACTCCCCACCACAGACTCTTTGATTTAGTGACGCTGACACTGGCCTCCTGGCTGTTCCACAAACAAGATGCTCCATCTCTTGGCTCCGGGCTTTTTCTCTGTCTCCCATGCGTGGAACGCTTTCTCTTCTCTTCTCTACCTGCTGGCTTTTCTGACTTGTTTCAAGTTGCAGCTAAAATCCTGTCTACTACAGAAAGCCTTTCCCAACCCATCTTAATTCTAGTACTTTTCCTTTCTTAATTATAACTGGTTCACACTGTACACAGCTTATTTGTACACCTAGCTGCCCCAAAATGACTTTTTCTTTAAAGTCACTAGAACATGACTTCTGATACGATAGCAGGAATTAATTGAATGGTATCCTAATGGTTTGTTATTTTTTAGCGTACAACACGTTTATCTTAAGGAGTTTGGCTGATATATAAATATGGCACGGAACAATGCTCGTGCTTGCTACCGACACCTCTTTTGAGGCTGGCCTGAGCAACTCATGTAACACGTTACCTGCATTGCTGGGATCGAAGAGTAACAAAATAAGTTGTATCATCTTGTTGTACCTGTGGCAACATTCTAAACTCTATTTAGCATTTAACAGTATCAGCCACTTTCTCCTTTGGGATATTTTTTTCTCTCTGGGTTTTTGTGAGACTCCTCTACCTATCTGGCTATACCTTCTAAATCTACTTTGCTGGATTATCATCCATTTCCCACTTTGGGATTGGTACCTACTAAAGCCTTATCCTGGTCTGTCTTGTCTAACTGTGATTTCATCAGCTCCTATTATTTCAGACAGATGAACTGAAGACCTGTTATATCTAGCAATAAATAAATTCCCTCCTGAACTTCAGGACTGCATCACCAGCTTCCTAGTGGACATTTCAGATTGGATTTCAAACTGCCTGTCCAAAAGATAACTCATTTTCTTTGTCCTCAGAAACCTATCCTTTTAACCTTCCCCATTTCTGTCAAGGGCACCGTTATTCTTTCAGGCAGCTATGTTTAAAACCTTAGAATTATTCCTGACTCCTCCTTCATCCCCTGTATATCCTGTTAGTTGCCAGGACTTACCAAGAGTATCTCTTTCATGCATCCCCTTCTCTCCCCTACACAAGTATCACTCTAGTTCAGGCCTCATCATCTCTTACTTACACTATTGGAGTAGAGTTGTGTTTGATCTCTTTGCCTCATGTTTCACACTCCTCCAATCCATCTTCCTGACAGATGCCAAAGTGATATTACTGAGGCACATATTAACCATGTCCTTCACTTGCTCAAAAAATTCCTGTAGCTTCTTTTTGCTGCCAAGGTAAAAACATAAATTCCTCTGGTTAACCTTTGTTGCCTATCACAATCTGACTTCAGCCTGTCTTTACATATTTGTTACACATTATTCCTCTTCATGCACTCTGTAGTCTAGTCAGACTGGCCTGTTGCTTCTTACAAATGACATTCCACCTTATATATTGACGCTTTTACACTTTGCCCTGTGCCTGGAAGATGCTACCTCCTCATGTGTTCTCCTTGGCAAGCTCGGCTCATGTGCTACTTTCTAAATCAGTCCCTCCTGGTCACTCGTGCCCCCCAAATTCTGGAATGTACTTTTTTCCTCTAATAAGTATATATTACAAAATTATTTCCATATACATTGATGATGGTACAGATTTATTATCAATAGATCATATATATTAAGTTCTTTTCCCTAGTGAAATTGATGGATTTATGTTGATTTGTTTCCATTTTCTTCCTTAGTCTACCTTCTGACTAGTGTCCTACATTTGTGAAATAATTGGCAAGAGTAAGGAGTCTGATCACATGACTAGAATAGAGTAAAGCCAAACTCTCCTACCTAGAGATGTAACATCCCTGGGACATTGGTCTTACTTGTGCTGTGTCCTAATTAGCCACACAGAATACTGTTAATATCAGCGTTTACATGCAGTTTCTGTGGGTATGCTATTTTGTATTTTGGAGAGCTCTTTTCCTTTAATAGAATATAAAAATTGTATTTATTTTGCATACATCCGTTGGCAATGTCCAATTAAGTAAATATTTATCAAGTGCCTGGTCTGTATAAGCCACTGTGCTAGGTGCTTGGGCAAAGATAAAAATTGACAGTTTTTGCCTTCAAAGAAAATATTTTACTGGAGTGTATGTGTGGTAAGGGAAGGTAGGTGTTTTTTATTCGGTAACAACTAATCAATTATTTGTCTTTGATGTCTTCCTGCCTCCATATTTATCAATGTCTCTCTTTTCTTAAAATAATAAGTACTTCTAAGGATAATGCTGGGGGGTGCTGCTTCATTTCTTTTTCATATCCTATAATATGCCCTCTAGGGAGAAAAAAAATACCCAAAAAAGCCACTGAGCCACAGTAAATTTTAAATTTCTGCTTTAGAAATTAATCACAAGACTTAATCTTTCTGTTGTGATTAATGTGAATTGGCTGTAGGTAATCTACTTAAAAAGATGATTTGGAGTAATATGACTCTGGAAGGTCTTAGATAAGTCCTTGACTAATTATGAATCCATGATAAGAAATCTTGGTAATTAGGGGCACTAGTTTCTGATTCCTGCTTTTTTGACTCTTGTGTTACACAGATGGTCATAGTAAACACCAGGGGCCTAGTTCATGGACAGTGTCAGATCTTGATGTTGGACCTAACTACGGGTCTTCGCATCACTCTGCAAACTCTGCAGTACAGTTTGTAAACTGTATGTCAACCAGAGAATCTTGGGAGAGGCTTATGATCATCTTCAATTTATACTAAATTAACAATCATTTTTTCTTCTAAATTGATAAAAGTCTAATATTCACTGAACCTTGACAAGTTATTTTTAGAAAAAAGTAAGCATAAATATACAAATGAAATCTAGTGAAATTAAATTACCACACAGATGTCTTAGAATGAAAGCAAACAAATTGTAAGAAACAAATATGATTTAACTAAGTGAATATGGATATTGAGATAGGACAGACATGGTTAGAAAGTAGGATTTACTAAATTTGAAATTAGGTTTTTTCATCTAGCCTTGGGTGTAACCTGTAGCTGATAAAATCCTCTATTAGGCTCATACATATAAATTCATGATCACTTCAACTCTTCAGTTTATACCACAAAGTATCAAATATAATTATTATTTAATACTTAACATCATTTCTAGTTTTCATGAAACTATCCAGGTGCAATAAGCTATCATAAACAACTGAATCATGGTTTCCTTTGAGGGAAATCCTTAAAAGGATGGCCAGATTTTAGTATCCTGCCATCATATAATTCTTTTCATTGTGCTCTGCACACTTTTTACTTGTTAGCTGGAACTGTTTTAATTTGGTCACTTCAGAATTTGAATGATTACAGTTCTACTGCAATAAAAGCAAACGTGTGTGATATATCTTCTGCACTAGGTACTGCAAAGAACATTTCTAAACTTTTGGCATATAGCAGGGAATGGCATGTGTAACTAAACTCTGGATTTGTGTTGTTGATTTATTTAGCAAATATTAAGAGTCAGTCATGTGTAGAGCATTATACCAGCTCTTAAGAAATAAAAAGATTAGATAAGACAATGTCCCTGAATTTATGGAGCTCACTTAACATACAAATACATAACATTTCAGTTATAAATTCCAAATCAGGTGCTCTGTGAGATCTTAGGGGAAATGTTGTTACTAACTATGGGCATTATGCTGAAAGGAACTATAGACAACAAACCAATATGGATATTAAACTTATATGTTGCAAATGCCATAACAACTCGGTTCGTAAAAGAAAAATTAACAGAATTATATGAAGATATAAAGAATAACACAATTATAGTAGGAGATTTTAATGCCCCTTTCTCAAATTTGGATAAATCTAACAGAAACATAAAAGAGAAAATACAGAATTGAACAAATTTCTGGAGAAAATAGAGCTGAAAGACTTATGGCTTCTTCTAAATAAGACCTCTAAAAATATACCTTTCTATTAGTACCTCATGGAATTTTTACAAAAATTGACTGTGTATTTAAGGTACTGAAATATTGCAAATAAATATAAAAAGG